GCGATAAAAGAAACAAGCAAGAAATTTAACCAACAAAAGAATGTGGACAAAATAAGGAAAAGTAAAATCCTAGAATTTTTTAGGTTTTTAACATGTGAAAAGCACAATAAATATAACTCTACAAGGGTACTCTACAATTGTCTCCACCAAATAATATCAATCTCTTTGGCAGGAAAAAGGTAGAAGAGATTACCACTAAGACATGTTTTCATATTCAAATTAAGTCTTATTTACCCATACTTTCAATGCAAAAAAATCCAATAACTGTAAATCTGCACAATGAAACACATCTTTTAAGTGCTAAGCCTTCTTATTTATGTATTCTCTTTTAGTCAATTTACCAAATCATTCATAAAAAAAACATAGATTCGTCACTTAACTTTCAAAATGCTTTTGAGACTTTTGTAATTATTTGCAGAAAAACAACTCCAAATGGGTCCTATTATATATACTTCTTCTAGATTCTACCATCCTAATGTCATATTCAAGAACTTCTGAGAAGTGGTAGCTTGTGTCACTTATGATCAGTTTCCACGAGCAACAGAACTTCATGTCTTGCAATGTTCAGGCAGCATTCTTATTCAAAGAAATTTCAGGACATATATAAGGAGCTTTTTTTCCTTTTTTTTTTTGGGTTGGGGGGGCTAGGGGAGCAAAGCAGGTGCTTTTCAAAAGTTCATGGCTGGCAACAAAGAGCCAAAGTAATCAGCATAATCATCGACACATCATGAACCAATTTTATGAAAGCAATTAACTGATGCTTTGAAAAAAGGATGACAAGACACCTAGAAAGAATATTTGAACCAAATACGTGACACTAAGCAGACAATGTTTCCATGTGCTTTTATCTGGTCTGCCATTGCCCAAAACACCTAAGCCCTCGGTTAAGCCTGTGAAAGACTATAAAGAAAGGTTCTTTGGTGTTATGTCTAACTGCTGTATCAAACAGGGCACCTTTGGCGCGGCCAATTTGAGCTGCTCATCAGGAGGACTCTCAAAAGGTGAAGTTTTTGCACTTTCCACTGCTAAAGATGGATAGTCTCTATTGGCAATAAAGGTTCCAATAGATTCCTGGTGATGGAGAAAATATAATAGCTCTTGCTTGGGAACTATAGCCCACTCATGATGCAAGAAAACACAATTGCTAACAGCTCTTGGTGAGATCTATAGTTCCTGATATAGGCAATTTGCCCTCTTGAATTGTCACTATTGGAAATCATTCAATTCTGCATACTCTTTGGATGCTCTGGTGACATATGGAAGTCGATATCTCTCCCATAGGCCAATATTCAACATGTCACTGAGCCAAATTTCTTCATGTTTGCAAGTTGTCCTATTCTGCTCCTCATTAAATGCACTTCTCATTACTTGTCTAAATTAATGGCAGAAAATGCTATATTACGCCATTTCTGCTGGACTTTGACAAAATCCGGCACCTGAGAAACTATACTTGGCACATTTAAGACCACAATCCCTAGTGTACAGGGATATAATACAGAGCATCTTTTGCAATTAAAGTCCCAAAATAGCCTTGAAGACTAAAACTTGGATTATTATGAACTCTAACACTAGGCAGTGATCATCTTATCCACCCATCATCCAACCAAAAACTCCCCAATTGACTACCTCCCTTCTCGCAGCATATCACAATTCTGACACACATAAAATCATGGAAAATGGACAATTTGCTTATGATGATTTGAGGATTGGGTAAAGCTCAAGAGTCATGATTAATTTAATATAACTTAGCATAATTAGTACACATGACCAATTGGCCATTAGATAAAGCTCAAAATTGATTGACAAGAGTTGTCACAGCATTCATAAAATCTTCCAGCAACCAAAGGAAAAAAAAAAGACTAAAAGCAGCATAAACTAAGAAGAACAAAATAAAGAGAACAAACCAAGCAAACTGGAGGGCATAGTTGGGAGGGGACACGTAAGAGCCTTTGTAATTGACACGGACCCATGGATTCAGCTCAATGCCGGCGACAGGTGTGTCCGACGGGAACCGGACTTGCACTTCCCACTCCAACCCCATGATCAATTTCTTGCTGATCTTTTAGTGACCCTCCTTGTTTGCTATTAAAACCCACAAAAGATTCTTACAATTTGGATGAATAGGCATGAAAACAAGTGAACTGAACTGCAATATCAGCAGAATTGGGCTGGAATCTTATACTCTTTCTACATGGATAATGAATAAAGGTGGGAAGGGTGATTCGTGTGTTCACACCATTTGTTTTTTTTCCTATAATCAATGCTTATCCCAAGTGAAAAGTAAAGAGCCATTGTCCCTTGTTTTCTTGTGAGACGGTTTTCATTTTCTTGCGGGATTTTGGTATGGAGTAGAGGGGAAAGGGGGAGAAGCGGTGGGGAAGACAGGGCGGCCATAGAGGTTGGGTGCTGTCTGACGCTGCATTTTTGTTGACAAATGTTTGACATGTAGATTGACTGGAAGTTAGAAAAGTCGATGAACCAGTGAAGGGCATTTCTGCAAATTTCTAGTACAGTGTTTTTTTTTTTGCCCCCGGTCTAGGAAAGTGGGGCCTTATTGCTATTAGCTGAAAGATTGGGGTTTCAGTTGAATGTAATTATAATACGAGAGCAAAACGAAATCCGAATTTTTGGTTACAACTTTTTCTATTTCAAAACCAAAACTAATTTTTCTGAGTAATATCTTCTCATTTTTTATACATAAAAATCAAAGTTCCTACAAAATGCTATTAAATGAGGCCCGTGCAAGAGCCCCACCTGGGCAGCTCGTTTGGTCACGGAAGCTTCTCAGCGACCGTTGTCCATCTCCCCCATCAGGGATCGAGTCCCAGAGTAACGTGCCCGAGGGGAAGGGGCCTCTCCTTTCGGGCCGGAGGATTAGTCGAGTCCGGTTTACCCGATGGCCCGGATACCCCCTCCGTCCCCAAAAAAAAAAAAAAAAGAGGCCCATGTAAGTAATTTATGTTAATCTTGGACCAGGGGCAACCGTTTCTGAAGATTATGTGCATTTTACACATGGCGTAACTCTGTTTGCACATGGTGTAACTTATTTTCAACAACGTGTAATTCTAGAACAAAATTTTGTTCGTCCCACACATATTGTTAAAAACGAAGTACAAAGTGAAATTTGGACCGTATAATTTTTTTGAATCAAATCTTGGCCGTGAACTGTCAGGAACGGTTGCTTCCTGCCCCCTCTTCCGTTAATCTTTGATCACTATTTTGGACAAGACGTAACATGGCTAGGCATATATAATGGCTATAGTCTGGGTTGGATCCCTTTGATCCAGATACAAACCCATTAAATTTAATTAGGCATAGACCCAAATTCAAACCTTTATAGATCTGAAAAAATAAATCCAAATCCAGACCCTCCTGAATTTGGGTATCCAATGAATATCATTTGTATTTTTGTAAACACACTAAAATAAAAATATATTAAAAATATATAGATTTCAATAAAAATATAAACACCATCCAATTTTTTTTCAAATAATAAAATTAATATTCAAGAAGTTGAATGCGATATTATGAACTCAAAAAAATAACTACTACAGACTGCTTTTATTTATTTTTAAAATTTCAACTGTATCTACATCAAATCTTTCATTTATTTGCCTTTACCTTTTTCCCCTTTTTCTAAAAAAGTTTGTACTAATTACAATAACAACTAGAATTAGGTTGAAAAAAGAAAAAAAATCATGAAATTTTACTGTATTCGATCTAATAACCATAGAAAATTAGAATATTTTATAAATTTATTAATATATATCATTTAATTATATATACATGCGGATGAATAGGATCGAGTATGAGTTTGGATTTAGATATGGATCATAGAAAATCAAACCCTATTCAGATTCGTAATTCTTTTACAGAGTTTGGGTCTAAGTAGAGCCTAAATTTGAAAAATTAAATCAAAGCCCTACTCAAATACATTGGATTTGGATTGGATCTGAATAAGATCTGATCTATTGACACATCTAAACATGGCCTACAATTATCAAGGAATATTAGCGTGTTTTATGTTTTTAACTATTGAGTCTAAAATTTGTAAATGGCTTTGAATACCAAGTGAAGTAGTATTACTAAATCATAAATTATCATAAAGACCATTCTGCCTTTTTTTTTTTGTATAAACTATTCTCCTTGTTTTTATTGCCACCCGTTGCAGATATAAGAGATTGTTTCAACAATTTATCCCGTATGTTTTCCAAAAACAAAAACAAACAATTAAAAGATAAGAGAGATTTCAATAAATATTCACTATCAAAACTTTACAATCACTTTTTTTACTTCACATGTATCGCATACTTAAAAAGTGCTATAGTAATTTTCTCACAAAAACTCTTGAAAAACTGCAATTCAAACATTGCACATTGGATCTTCAATGTCACTTTTTCGGTGGCAATTCAGTGTCACTTCCATATTTATATCAAATGTCATGTTTATTTAATTTATCATATATTATTTATTTAAATTTCTTCTACTCTCATGTGATAAATGGAATTAGCACTGAATTTGGCAACAAGTAGTGGCACAGAAATCCCAATTGTAGCCAATGGAGGTTGATGTAACTCTAGTTATCATTATGCAATTTCTTAGGCTTTTCTTAGGGGAAAAAGTGTTCAACTCAACTCATTTGCACAATTTTGACGCAGCCAGCCAATAACTAAACTTTGATTCAATTAAACTTGAGCGCTTGATATGTACTAAGCATTTTTTATCAAAAAAAAAAAGGGTTTTTGGGCAAAAATAAAAATAGAGTTTTTTTTTTTTTGTCAACTTCAAGAAACCTACTATTGACTTTACAAACCTAAGTCCACGGTACACCTCAAAAGCCATGGTCAAAAATAAAAATAGAGTTGAGTGAGCATTTTATATTCAATTGAGCTTTGACTAGAGACTTAAAGTAGTGATCAAAGGTCAAAACCGCTGAAGGATCCAGCACTCGTATAATAGTAACAAGTTTTACACAGTCTGGAGCCAGTACTTATCTTGCCTCGCTGAATTTGAAAATCAATCAAAAAGATTTAGCAGAATCCAGAGACCAGAAACAGAGAGACTGAGATGGCTACGAAACTTGGAACATCTATGGAGGAGGTGGAAATCAATAATGATATCGGAGGAGAGAATCAATCTCGAAACATCAAATTAGAAGTCGCAATTCGATGCGCCAAATCCGCCATGCTGCTCTCTTCTCTCAAACGACATCATTCCTCCCACAGTTCCACCACACTCACCAATGTGCGTTTCTGTGTGTGCTCTGCTTGTTTCACGTAATTACAGTGTTCTCTACTTAATAATATTATGTAAGCATGAGGAGTTTTAATTAAATTTTCAGGATGACGAAAAAGTGGAGGAGCTGAAGAAAGAGCTGGTAAAGGCCAGAGTGAAGAATAAGAAGATGAGAACCTGCAGCTTTTACGAGCTTTGTCTCCAGATCGCGCTCTTGTTCTCTCTCTGGACTCTGTGTTTGTTGATCGCCTTCAATTTTCTCCATCAGTTCGCAAATAATTCTCCGCCATAAACGATCGACTGCGTCTAATTGTTTGTAACAGTCATGGATTTTAGATTCTGGAACTCTGTAAACAGGAAGGCGGTAGTAATCTGTATTGATTGAATTTCAGTAGAAGCTTTGAGTTTACTTGTAGTTGAAGTAGAATATCTATCTCAATTGATAGTTATCACAAATAACGGGATTTTGTTTGTTTTGATCTGATTTCGGTGGGATAATTCATTCAGAATACAACCAGCGTTCATCTCGGCTTTGTTCTCATGTTTCTTGGAGACCAAGTTTTGCACTCAGTTGATGATTTTACCTGACTAATTTCAGCGTTTCTCAATTGGAAACTTTTCCTTTTCCTTTTCTTTTCTTTTTTTTTCTCATTTTTGCTTCTCTACAGTGGAGAAGATTAGATTATTATGGAGATGAATAATGTTGCAAGTTATTCATCAAAGCCTGCTCCTCTAGTTTTGTTTTATTCTCGTCTGTTTCCGATCCTAATGGTCTGCCTTAAACAAGAGTTTTACCACCAATTCCTCCTTTATTTCTTTGGCATCTGATTTCATGATTGGATATTTCATCTTCTGGAGAAATTGTTAAATTGTAGCGAAGTTGGACGTCAATTTCCATAGTTGTACGCTTTCTACATTAGAAAATTTTGGTAGGCGTAGAACTTAGAAGTATTTTAATTCGAAAGAATATTTGTAATTCGTCACATAACCTCTTCCACAAAAAATCTAGATGCATAGGGGAATGCAATATTGGCCATACATCTTTAACAAGAGCTCCGTGTTATTGTTGCAACATGGTTGGAGAAACTAACGAATTTGGGTAAAGATAAAGCTGTGACACCTGCAACGATTTCTTTTCACCTCAAGTTTCCATTTGTACAATGACCCTGTATAACAGCAGGTTGCGGCTAAAATGAGCAGCCTACTCGTCCAGATACATGCCTCCACTATATACAATCAAACTTCCAGATAAGAGTTCTGGAGCCACGAAAACAGGCAATTTCGCATTTCAGACACATGCAAACGTTTAATTCTTGTTTATCAATGAAGGAACATTATTACAGTTGCAATGTACAATTTTTGTGTGCTTAAATGTCTAGAATTAATAAGTTTCATCCTCCATTTGCAAAGCCTTCTATTGCATGATACAGTTCCTGCCAAAATCCAGATGCAACAGCGATTTGATACTACAAACAACTTAACTAAGAGAAACAGCTCCTTAGCAGCATCAAGAACAACTGAACATTCAGTAGTCATCCCAGACTGCAGATTTACCAAAATGATCTCATAGCATTATACCTGATCAATATTGAACAAGCTAAACGTTTAAAAAAGTTTCCTCGTCTAATGTAGCTCAGGACATAGAAAACAATGCATGTAATAAATTATATTGTCTCTCTTATAGAAATAATCAGTGGGTAGAAGCAACCTTTTTTGTAGACAAATCCTTTTTTTTTTTTTTTTTTTGCACTGGCTTCTTCACAGTCGACCCAAACACTTCATACTTAATAAAAAGGAAAATGTTTAACAATCAAAAGCTCTGTCCTATTCCATTTCCAGTAGCAAAAAAATTAAAAATAATTGTCTAGTTTATGGAGTAAATCTTGCACCTGAGTACATGAACTATTAACCCAATGCAGGAAAGGTCAACTGCACATTAATTAAAGTACTGCAATTCAAATAGAACTAACATGAAACGGGGATACCTCTAATCAAATGCATAGGGATCATCTGCATAAGGATTCAGAGATCCTTCTGAAAACAGATCACCTATATTAGATGACTTTGTATGAACTTGTCCCTTTGTTCCCTATCGTGAAATTCCAATCACAAATGTCAGCGCACATAACATAAAATTATATGTGACCGTAATCACAAGGCATCTTGTAGTACACAGAGACAACCTTCATCCCATACAGTTAAATTTCTCCTTGTTTCTACTTTACCTTGCTCAGGTTAACCAATTGCTCTGTTTCATTGCATTAATCTATTAGTAATCACAACTTAATCCTAAATGATATGAATAAGAGTAACACCATTTCAAGGTAAGAGAATTTCGTGAGCACAATTATTGTTTGTCTGGTACATCCCATTCATCAAAAATAGGCAAAAATACTACTTCTTGTTGGGTGAGACATGAATGACACTCCACAAAAGATCAAAAGCTAAAACAACCAGCATGATGACACTGAGAAGGAAAATTTATCCTAGTTCATTGTTTAATTACCTTAGTAACAGCTCTAGGTGTAACAGCTTTTGGTGTCTCTAGCTTTTTATGTCTGCTTGGGTCCTGTAGTAATAGAGACAATTACACATAACCAAGAAATATACACATAAAGAATCGTTCCCCTGCAACAATGCATACTGATCAGAAATCAAAATTACATACCGCAAACATTACAGTACTTTTGGTTTTCCTTTTTTTTGTAATTGTTCTTCCATTTGCTGTTTCGACTTCATATTCATGATGAGTGACCTGCTTAAGCAAGGAAAGGAGGTTAGACAAGTGGGTACAAAGAGTTGGACTGAATTTTCTACGAATACAAAGAGCTGATCAATGATATTCAGAAGCATGAACTGAATTTTCCATGTCTTTCTTGAGATATAGATAAAATTGACGAAAAAGAAAAAAAAGGAGAGCGAGGGATAGGAAAACTGATACGGGTCATGGATTTCTCTTTCATTGTAAAAATATAGACTGGCAGGCTTCCTTTTTTTTTTTATTAGTGCTCACTTCCCTGCTCTTTTTACCTTCAAAGTTAAAGGTTCCTAGCTTTCTAATTGATTAAATATTTGAGAGAACACCTTAGCATACTACCGTTTATTTTCATGATACACAGCTAGAGGCACACCTTCCTACTATGCTTGGGAAGACTCATGACACTTCCTGTATTCCCCTTCTCCGCTTTTCTTAGCAAGTTGGACACAGGTGTTTGAGTTGCTGTCAGATAAGGTGAATCCTGCAGAGACATTAATAGGTTTAAGAATGCAATTTGCTGTAAGCAGTATAGACAAAGGACTACAATTTTGCACTCTGTATATCACCGTTTGTTCAACTTCTCGTCTCCCAGCAGTATGATGACCTCTTTTGTCATTTTCAGAATTTCTCATCTTGGTGGATGAAACAGAGTAGTTCTGTAAAGTTGAATTCTTCCAAACAGTTATTATGATAAATGCACAATAATTCACGCAGATGGAAAACTAAAAGAAAAGCATAAGAAAGAAATAATGATTCAATGCTTAAAATTTCACTCTGTTGCGGGAAATATGAGATGATTCCCCATAATTTAAAATGAAATGATGTGAAAATTCGGAAGTACAAATATGCATTATTATAGTGAACATTTGCAAGTACGACAGTAACAGATTCATTTCTCTCTGCTGGAATGAAAGAGAGGAGAATTAGGAAGCACACTTTCAGCTTTGATCTATGAGAAAAATGGAACCATCTCTGAAACTAGCACAGTTTTTAATAGAGTTATCATGTTATGAGTAATAAAGTAGAAAGATCGTGGGGGATATAGTCCAGCATTCATTTTGAAAATTAGTTGATCCATATCATACCTAGAGAAACAAGAGTTTTTATTACTACCGATTACACATCACTAGAACAACCTTCACATTTTAAGTATTTTGTAAGAATGTTTCCAAATGGCCCAAAGTATGAAGATCCTAAACCCTTTTGAAGTGAAACCATCCAGGAGAAATGCATATCTTGCAAAATACCTAACACCAGGATGTGCCAAACCAGAAAACAAACTCATTTCTGCTCTTCTAATCACTAGAGGAGGAAGGAGAGAGGTAAGAACTATGGAAGAGAGAATATACTTTTTTGAGTGGCCCAATTGAACTTAATGCATAAACTTATTTACCTTTTTTGAGTTCACTTCTTGGTCATCTTGTGGATTGTCAGCCATTACTTTCCACTGTAATTGCAGTAAAGCCCTCTGCCTCTCTTCCTGAAGCACAGATTATTGCATGAAAATATTGCAGAATGTCTAATATACAAGCAATAAGGACATACTTTAGACTTCTGAATATCCAACTCCTCTTGTAATCTTCTGCACTCATCTTCATGCTCACACTTCAAAGCTCTTAACTGGATTTCATGTTCATTCCGCATTGATGTTGTTTTCTACAAAATGTCACACATATTTGAAACAAAATGACAAAAGATGCAAATTTCCAATGCTTTTCTGAACAAATTTGCAATGCTTGCTCTATGAATTTGATGGCATATACCTCTCTCAATTCCTTTTCAGCTTGAAGCTGGACCTGCTTAATCTCTTCAGAATGGTTGGACATAAGAAGTAATTCCTTTTTATCATGCTCTTGTTGAATGCGACTAATCTACAAAATCCATCAACTGAAGTTAACCCAGATTCATTCTCAAAACAATGTGTACTATCATCGTGTTACTGTATAAACAATTTTTGCAGTGAAACTCTACCTTAGAGACCTAACAGAAGCTTTAAATAAGCTCAACAAACCAAAAATGAAATAAAGAAACAAATAAAGAAAAATACTAAAAATGGAAAAGGAATGCTTCTTGTGATAACACACTTCAAATTGGTAAATCCCCCAGATTGACTATGGTAGTAAATATTTTTAAAGATCAACGTCTGCACATACCAAAGCAGCATGTTCCTCCTGTATCCGCAGCAAGTACTGTCTTGATTCCTCTTTGTATTCTTCAAGCTTCTGCTGACAGTTTCTGTCCATCTCTCCAATAACTTTGTCAGCCTGAAATGGGCAAAGAGGCAAGAATGTTGATGTCCAACAAAAGATTGTTTTGGAAAAGAATACAAAATAGCATACCTTTTCTTTCTCAATACTAGCACTTTCCAACTTCTCCACCTCGTACTTCCTCCTGATATCATTAATGGCCTGATCCAAGCCCCAAATTGATTGAAGAGAATTAGATTAAGTTCAGAAAACACAAAGAAAACAATTTTGCAAAATCATAAAAACTTTGTAATGGAAGATTTGACCTGATCATTTTTCTGCGATATTTCCTTCAAATGCCTTGACAGTTCTAACTGTTTACTTTCTAACATCTGATCATATTGCTTCTTAGCTTCAGAAAGTTTAGTTTCAGCATCACTTAGTGATTCCTCAGTCTGTGACATGCCACCAGAAAACCATATTGATAGGCAAAACTGTTCAAAAAAACAGCAATATAGTGAATAAATTTGAC